GGTTCAGTTCTTGCACCAGTGATGTTTATTGTCAACATAAATGATCTACCAGTTGGTATACAGAATTATATGAACATGTTTGCTGATGATGCTAAGATAATAGGAAGGATAAGAAACTTAGATGATTGTCATGCCCTTCAAGAAGACCTGGACAAAACAAGTACATGGAGCGCCACTTGGCAAATGGAATTTAATGTTAATAAATGCCATGTTATGGAATGTGGAATAGGAGAACATAGACCCCACACAATCTTTAAAGAATTCTGATAAAGAAAGAGATCTAGGGGTGGTTCTAGATAGAAAACTATCACCTGAGGACCACATAAAGAATATTGTGCGAGGAGCCTATGCCACGCTTTCTAACTTCAGAATTGCTTTTAAATACATGGATGGCGATATACTAAAGAAATTGTTCACGAATTTTGTTAGGCCAAAGCAAGAATATGCAGTAGTTGTGTAGTGCCCATATCTTATGAAGCACATCAACAAACTGGAAAAGGTGCAAAGACATGCTACTAAGTGGCTCCCAGAACTGAAGGGCAAGAGCTACGAGGAGAGGTTAGAGGCATTAAATATGCCAAAACTAGATGACAGAAGAAAAAGAGGTGATATGATCACTACATACAAAATAGTAACAGGAATTGATAAAATCGATAGGGAAGATTTCTTGAGACCTGGAACGTTAAGAACAAGAGGTCATAGATATAAACTAGCTAAACACAGATGCCGAAGAAATATAAGAAAATTCACTTTCGCAAACAGAGTGGTAGACGGTTGGAACAAGTTAGGGGAGAAGGTGGTGGAGGCCAAGACCGTCAGTAGTTTCAAAGCGTTATATGACAAAGAGTGCTGGGAAGACGGGACACCACGAGCGTAGCTCTCATTCTGTAACTACACTTAGGTAATTACACACACACACACACATACCAGTTCTTAGTTCAAGCAGGTACCTAGTTAGCAAAGGATTGGTATATTAATTCATGCCATCTTTGTCTTTACTCCACAACTTCAAAACCCAGTGAGGAATCATTACTGGTACTGTCTACATCAATGCCAGAGTAAACTATAATGTCCAACACCGTTGCTGCTTCAGAATCACACAAAACAAAGAATTAAGAGTCCACATCAGTGAGGTTTGGAGGAGGTTATACTGCTTGAAGGCAAGATGACCTTTCAACAGCACAAAGCAATTTATTAATTACCTACTTCTGGCCTGGAATGTAGAAATATTTGTACTTTCCATTCAGTTTACTGAGAATGTGTTTCATCTTCCACAGTCTATCATCTGTGCTTTGGTTTTCACTATTTTCAAAATGAACGCACCAAGAAACAATTACTTATGTAGTTATGAATTTTCTGAGAACAGTTACTGGACCAAGAGTGTTTCAATAATCCTGGATGACATTTTCCACTGAATGTCTCATCATCACACAGAGGGCAAGAAACACAAAGTTCGCTATAATATACCTGGAGCATACTTATAGAGGGTTTTGAGCGTTCTACTTCCTGAGTCCAGCCTGGGGCCAGACTCGACCCTGCTCCTAGGGGTGTCTGCTTCCAAAGCTGCAATCGTGAATGTTGTAACATGCCCTAGATTCCAATATATTCGGCAGTCTGTTTGTTTCTTGAACATGTTCCATGAAAAGCTCATTGATATATACCATAAAATACTCTATTTCACTCACATCCTCAGCAGCATATGAGAAAATGGCTATAATCCCAATATCTAAATCTCACAAAGTGTGCATCATCTGTCCACATGAGTACATTTGGAGCATACATGGAGAGGGTTTTGGGAGTGCTTCTACTCCCCACTACAACCCAGTTGGTCCAGCATTTGCAAGAATCTAAATGCTTTTTGAAGAATTCCACCTTTGTTCCGGCAATATTTCTAGTGCTTGTTGGGAGGATATTAAACAGCTATGGACCTCTGATGTTCACAGTGTGTCTGATTGTGTCTATAGCACCTCTACTCTTCATTGGTTGTTCTGCATTTCCTTCCATATCTTTGGCTCCAGTATGTTGTTATTCTACTGTGCAAATTTGGGACCTGGCCTTAAAGTATCTCCCATGTATATAATATTTAATACCTCTCTCATCTCCTTACCAGTGAGTACATTTTGAAAGCTTTGAGAGTCCCAATAATGTGTGTTTTATCTTGTCTATGCATGCCATATATGTTCTCTGTAGCCCTGTATTTCAGAAAACTCTTCTGCTCTGAAAGAGGAAATGAGTACTGGAGACAGGACAGCACCAGTGATTTAAATAGTATTAGCACTGTTGTGGAATTCCTGGATTTGAATTTGATTTGATTTTCTGTTATGGTCACTAAATGTCAGGTCATCAGATATCACAACTCCCAAATCTTTCACATGGTGTTTTCCTTTTACGATTAAGTCAGATTTTTCCTGTACCCTGTATTTTATTTAAGTTCCTCGTTTCCACCATACCTGGAAGTTACCACTGTCAAACATCACATTATTTTCCGTTGCTCAATTGAAGAGTTTATAAATATTGGTTTGAAGGTTTCCTACATAGGAAATTTTCATACTGATTTTATCATCTGCAGAGGATGACACGACTACTGGTACTTAACATGAGTACCCAAATGACCCATAGACATATTAGAAAGTACTTTGTGTCATAGTTAACAAATGGAATGCATTAACAAGTGATGTGGTGGAGGCAGGATCAATACACAATTTCAAATGTAGATATGACAGAGCCCAATAGGTTCAGGAATCTGTACACCGGTTGACAGTTGACAGACGGGGCCAAAGAGCCGAAGCTCAACCCCTGCAAGTACAACTAGGCAAGTACATTTCTTTATGGATCTTGAATTCCAGAAGTCAGGACCTGGGAGCTTAGTGCATGTTAAAACACCTGCTGTTTTGGCAGAAACACCACTAAGGCCATGGCCATGTATCCTAGTACTGTATCAACAAAACTACATTGGCTAGGAGATTAAGCCTGTCTACTATGCACACTGCAGGCATGAAACGTTGAAGATCAAGGTATACAAGTTGAAGACAAGGACATTAGTCTCTCCATTTCCCCATGCGGCATTACATGGCAGCGTTTGTTTTGGTGAGAAGCTGACGTGGCAGAGATACACCTGGTACCATGTGTACCAACACCATGTACAACTCTACCATTAGCCACAGTAATGTTTAAAACTACAGAGTCTTGCTCACTAAATTCAGAAAATGAGTTATCTTCCACATGTTCATAGCTTAAGGGCACAGCATGTTGCAAAAGACCCACATCTCCTGTCTTGCAGTGGGAGTGGCTGTGTAGAGTGGAGCCACTGTGGGAGTGGTGATGGTGTAAGCCTCAACCTTGGGGCAGACATATGTGCATCAACTTTATAGTCTGTATCACTTCTTCTGAGTCCTGTGTATTGTTATCTCAAATCATCAGTCACTTTCATTGTCTGTTTTATAGTTTCTTTAAAATTTCTTAATCTGTAAGTGAATCTGTGGAGTGAGTTACAGCACTAAAGTGGGAGATGGAGGATCGTGCATTAGCCATGATAGCTGTATACAAACTGAGGCCATCGGGTGCCTGACAGCTGGGTGAACAGCGCTTCAGATTCGTAGTCCAGAGGTTCCGGGTTCGATCCCAGATGGAGGCGGAGACAAATAGGCAAAATGTTTCTTTCACCCTGATGCCCCTGCTACCTAGCAGTAAATAGGTACCTGGGAGTAAGACAGCTGCTACGGGCTGCTTCCTGGGGGTGGAGGCCTGGTCAAGGACCGGGCCGCGGGGACACTAAGCCCCGAAATCATTTCAAGATAACTTCGAGAAGCTCCTGCTGATTCACCGTATTCAGGTTTTTTGTAAAGATGACGGCCGTTTACTATTGCCCCTAGGCAGCGACTGGTTGCTCTGTTTACATCGCAAGTATTTTAAATTTTATGCGGTAATAGAAAACATCCCCGATTGTGACGTACAGTTTACGGATATTTGGTGAGAAGATCCCTTGTTGTGTCACACAGTGGAATGGGTTAAGGCTTATGAATCGTCCATCATTGTATAAACACACCTCGGGAATTTACAGCTATTTGTTAACTTCTTGGGCTTTTCCAATGAGCAACCAACCTAGTACTTTTTTTTCCCTCCTCACACTTCTGTTTACTGTATACCATTGCCACACTGTTGACCAGACCACACACTAGAAGGTGAAGGAACGATGACGTTTCGGTCCGTCCTGGACCATTCTCAAGTCGATTGTCGGACGGACCGAAACGTCGTCGTCCCTTCACCTTCTAGTGTGTGGTCTGGTCAACATACTTTAGCCACGTTATTGTGACTCATCGCTTGCCACACTGCATTACTAACACTCTGTAACTTAGTTTACATGCTGCCGTTCAATTGTGCATTGCTTTATCACTAATTTCTAGAAAACTTGTCAAAAGATATTAGATTTATACTTAATAATGTCAAAAGGCATTGTCTTGTACATTTGATGTTTAGCACACACTGCATATCTCGGGATCTCGCTCTACATCTTCTTAATTACAGTATTTCAACATTTTCTCAAAATAGACTTTTTCTCTTACTTAACTCACTTGTATAAGTTTTCAATGACAAAATACGTGCATTTGGAACGCACATGGAGCATGGGGAGTTCTTAAATTTTGCCGATACAACCAACAAAATCATGGGAATGAACGCTACACTGCCTCGTGAAACAAATCAAAACAATGAGATGTGAATTTATGCAGTCACATTGCTAGGAGGCTCTCACGTGGCACCAAATATGGTCAGTAGACAAACTAAGCCCATCCCCCATCCATGCACCTCACCACTTAATTGCAAATTTTTATTCGGACAACCTCACAGAGAATAACAGGCACTATAGTCCAGAGTCCATAAGTCGTCCATATGTATTCCAGAAAGTATGTTTTCGTCTGTAATTTATTTTTTATTAAACAAACAAAGAAACACGAATCAATTTTAGGGCCTAAGAACAAAACAAAATGTCAAGTTTTACTTACTTCAGTTGCCTCTTCATTAGAACCGTTCTCATTTTCTGTAGGTTGCTTTTCTCCTAGCTTGACCAAGGACTCAACAACACTCATGGTTTCTAATGCACCTGAATCCCCTACAACTGCTCCACTTGATGTTATTGGCACTCCACTTGCTTCCTGTTGGTATTGATCACAGCTTTCAGTTGCCTGACCAATATTAAATATATTTTAGAACCCTTTTCCTTATCCCTTCTCCTCAAACCCTCTTAGGTGATTCTATCTCCACTGAGCTTGTTCTTAATACTGTAACTGAATTAGTTCACAGCTCTCGAGCCAACTTGGAAAATACACGCCTTCATAGCTCGTCTGGATACAATGACAACTTAAATCCGCACCCCATATGGCCTGTCTCCAACCCGTTCTCGCACTTTCTTACAGTCAATATTGACTTATTAAATAAGTGCATATGTGACATACTAATTTTTTGTGAATATTTTAGTTTACCTTGAAAAGCTTCATAGAAAACACTGACCTTACCTAACCTTCTTAGTATGTTAAGATAAGCATCTTATTGCTTCGTAATTACAATTACTACTTAACCTATACCTATAATAGGTTAAGCAATAATTGGAATTACGAAGCAATAAGATGCTTATCTTAACATACTAAGAAGGTTAGGTAAGGTCGGTGTTTTCTATGAAGCTTTTCAAGGTAAACTAAAATATTCTCAATAAATTAGTATGTCACATATGCACGTATTTAATAAGTCAATATTGACTATACGAAAGTGCGAGAACGGGTTGCTGTCTCACTGTCAGTCTTCCATTAACACTCACTTTCGGAAACCATGAATGGTTCATGTCATAAAGAACATATCTGACCTAGAAGCTAATTATGTAATATATATATATATATATATTAATATATATATATATATGTCGTACCTAGTAGCCAGAACGCACTTCTCAGCCTACTATGCAAGGCCTGATTTGCCTAATAAGCCAAGTTTTCCTGAATTAATATATTTTCTCTAATTTTTTTCTTATGAAATGATAAAGCTACCCATTTCATTATGTATGAGGTGAATTTTTTTTTATTGGAGTTAAAATTAACGTAGATATATGACCGAACCTAACCAACCCTACCTAACCTAACCTATCTCTATAGGTTAGGTTAGGTAGCCGAAAAAGTTAGGTTAGGTTAGGTAGTCGAAAAACAATTAATTCATGAAAACTTGGCTTATTAGGCAAATCGGGCCTAGCATAGTAGGCTGAGAAGTGCGTTCTGGCTACTAGGTATGACATAATATATATATATATATATATATATATATATATATATATATATATATATATATATATATATATATATATATATATATATATATATATATATATATATATATATATATATATATATATATATATATATATATATATATATATATATATATATATATATATATATATATATATATATATATATATATATATATATATATATATATATATATATATATATATATATATATATATATATATATATATATATATATATATATATATATATATATATATATATATATATATATATATATATATATATATATAATATATATATATATATATATATATATATATATATATATATATATATATATATTATTTTTTGAATTAGATGCTATCAAGCTACTTTCATTTTATAATAGTACTATGGCTTGTCAGTATTCATATATTTTATTAATTTCTCAATCTGAAAAGTATTTCCTTCCAGGAGATGACACATGCAATGAAAGTCATCCTTAATTTCTCTTGCTATTATTGGAGCCAGGGTGGCTATTTTCTATACTGTATTTCAAACTATTTCTATAATATGACTTAACAGTTTCATTTAATACAAATCAAGTTTATTATCTTGAATATAATTAATTCCACAATTGTCATCAAGGGATTATAAAATTCCCAAACAATACAACACCCAGAATGAATACACTTCATGGCAGACATACTGTATTCTGATTAAAAATGGTAACATTTTCAGGCTTTCTTCTTACATCATCCGACACCATACCCATGGTTGCAAGACTGATTTAATCAAATGCAAAATATTCATTAGTTGCCAACACGACTAACATAATACAACATGCCACATTGTTAGAAGACAAGAGTACACACTTTGAGGTAAACTAACTGTTGAATTGTTGAAAAACAGTTTTGGAATATCGTGCACCTTAATAATATTGCAACCTACATAACAGATTCACTGTCTTATTCAATACACTAACGTACATTGCATCATTCAACTGCTGTACATGTGTTTTACACTTATGAAGTATACCTACTGACATACTACAGCATTAACTTTTTAAATTAGTGGCATAACAAAAAACCAGCATTGAATGTAATGAAACTCCATTTTCTGGGTCAGACCCGGAGGCTCCCTGGAGCTATCCAGGCTGATACGGATGTATTAGACTTTGTCATCAGTCATTGTGAATGGAGTTCTAGGCCTACCAGGGCCCACGAGCCAGAATCTGGCCCCATCAGAAGACCAGAAGAACTGAATCACGAGGAGCAATAGCCTATAGAAATCCCTGTGTGATTGGAAGCGTTCTGTGTCTAGCATCGACCGGGTCAGACATCCAGAAACGTAAGCGCCCCAAAACAAACCTCTATTCTGGTTAAAAAATTGCTACTGAAAATAAACTGGTGGACAGAATTCTCAAGACGAAAACAAGTAAATGAGAATGACGTCACCACGCTGCATGTCTGTGCAGTGCCCCCCTCCCTGGGAGAGGAAAGGGAGAGCCCCAGATTCTCACGCCGGCTATCCACACCCCAGTTCTGAGGCTGGATGTCAAAAACATGCAAAAAACTGCCGACTGAAGGGAGGGTTGCTGGGAAGCTCCCGGGTTTCACCCAGAAAATGGCGTTTCATTACATTCAACATTGGTTTTCTGGGGCGAGCCCCTTCGGCTTCCCGGAGCTAATTACCCACAGATAACACAAGAGGGACAAACCCGGGAGGCAATCATCAACACAGCAAACACACAAAAATAATGGGCACGAGGATAAACCGCAGGCGGGCCAGACCAAAGGACCCAGAGGATGACCTGGCAGACCCGAAACCTGGAACAGGGAAGAAGGAAAACTGGTCAACCCAAAGCACGTCAATGGCTACCAAAGCCGTGGCAGAAACACCGCATCCTGAAGGATCGGCGCGAACAGCTTCAGCAGAGCAGACAGCACACATGCCGCCAAGATCAAAGCACCAGACCCCAGGAATGGCCCCAAGTGCCTCTACATCCTCCGTAAGCCAATCCAAAGACAGCTCAAGGAGGGAAAAGAACCGCAAGACCAAAGCCAACAGGCCACGAGCGCGCAAGGCCTCAGCAACCAGTGCAGCCGAAAGGGAGGGAACCTGCACGTGAAGCTGCACAATGCCAACATCCTGGGATAGGGCAGGGGCGAACAAGCATGCACTGAGGTGCTCAAATTCGCCCCCAGGTAAACCTGGATCACTGTCCCAGTCTCACGTCACTCCAAACTTGCGGAACCAACAGAACGTATGCCAAGCCTCCAACAACTAAATAGTGCAGTCCACAAGCCAGGACAACTCTGGAACTTCACAACGAATCCAGTGAGGAAACGAAGATCCAAACCTGAACATAAAAGGATCCATTATGGAAGCATAATCCAGATCGCGCAGGAGGAAAGCTGCATTGGTTTTCCGCATCACATGAGGTAGGAAACGAGAAGCCAGAAACCCCCGGAAGGACAGGACCAATGAACCCGAAGGGACACGGAGCCAAACCCCGGGAAGGGCTGACACCAAATCCAACTCGTACCAGGTGGAGAGAAAAGAAAACCCCACTCCCTGTAACAGTAAACCACACTCAGAGGGCACAAAAACCCAAGTGGGGTTCAACGGGGCCAAAGATCTCCCTAGTCACCACCTACCCCGCCTCAGGAACCTCCACAGCAGGACCCGGGGCCGAGCAATCCCCCAAAGCGCCGGCTTCACAAGAAAAAGCCGGGGCACCCGTAAAAGCCAAAAGGAAGGGGGGCCCAATGGTCAGACCCATATGCTTCAGCAGGAGGAACAGGCTTGAACGCCTCTGTCACCACCCCAAAAGGAGTATCCCCCAAGACTGCTCGAGTCTTCAACCCAATAAAACCCAGCCCCGACTCCGAAACCCTCAGATGCTTCGGAGACAGATGCAGGGGGAGAGGACCAGAACAAACCACAGCAGGGAAAGGACGAGGGGGCGAGGACTGAACCAAGGACGAAGCTACTAACACCCCCAAGTCCGGATTCCTATAACTAAAACGGGGCAGCCTTGGGGCTTCCAGTTCAGCAACCAACACAGCGTGTTGCTCCAACCTAAACTTAGCATGCAATGCCTGAGCTGCCTGCACCCAAACAGAATCATCAGTGGACTGAGTTACGAACAAGCAACAAAACTCGCAGGACTCTGGGTCGAAAATGTCATCGACCAGCAGGTAGCATGAAAGAGGCAGAAGCGGAGAATGTCACCCTGAGACAAGGGAACAGAGCAACCTTCAAAACCACACAAGGCGAGAGGGAACCCACGGAATGCATCCATTGGACCCAAGTGCCCCCATGGGGTTTCCCAGGGGGCCCTTAGACAGGAAACACACAAAGGGAAGCCCAGGCCAGGTACTGCTAACCAGTGGCCCAGACCACAAAGAAAACTCCTAAAAGCTGAACCCCCCGGACGTGTCCACTCACAGAGGCATAGCTGGGGACCACCAAGAACAATTGGGTAACCAAAACCAAGGACAGAACCCCCCCCCCCACCATGCAGGAAACAAGAGACAAAAGAAAAACCCTGCAAGAGGACAACATACCCAGGCGGAACAGAGCCAGCCGCTATGAGAGGTGAAAACTAGCTGTGCAGTACCCTGGCTCCCCTATCAGTGCAAACTACCCCTACCCAAAGGCAAACAAGGGTGCATGAAACACCCCAGCACACTAAGGGCGGTCAATCACCGCGCAGCAAAAGACCAAGCAGAGGTAAATTCCAAGGTGACTTGTGGGTAGCCCCAAGCCCCAAGGGCAGTACTTACATGGCATCTAGGGAAGGTGACCCTAGGTGCATGCAGCCCAAGTACTTGTGAAATTACTCCTGGCTCTCGCACTACCAGAGAAACAGC